ATTTGAATTTTAGTTAAAGATGTAGTAGTAGTGTTTTTGACATTTTTAGTAGTTTATAGTATTATAGTCTATAGTATTATAAGTCTATAGTTAAACTAAATGAGAAATGTTGCCTTGGTGTAACTAGCTGAAATAAAGTTATTTATGCTTAATTTATTCATTTTATATTTTATTTTAAATGACTTTTCTTTTTCGGCTGATCCCACAAGTCATCCATTCTGTTATGTAATCCCTACGGTTTTTTCTCATTGAATACTTTGTTTCTGTTTCAGAAACTTTAGTAGGGTCAACAGAATAAGTAAAAAGGGTACATTTTGATTTTATGTTGGCAAAAACTGTTCTCACTTTTCACTTGCTGTCTAGAGTGGGAAAAACTGATATTTTTCCTTGTTTTTCCTCGCAGTTAATTTTTTGAAAAAACATTTGTTAACCTATCTCCTCTTTCTGTGCTGTCTCTTTCATTTCACTCAGTAGTGCAGTGTATTTGACACTTGAAGACGTAAATAGATCCTCACCTCTCATCCAGACCCCAGTTGGCCTCCGTCAATCGATGCTAAATACCAATCCAGGTGTTCCTGGACAGTAGGACTTGACAAGTCCGGCAGACAGCCGTGTTTCTCCGCTGTCTGTTTGTTTGCTCTGTTCTCGTCTCCTCTTTGTTCCTCCATTGACTCTTGCCGTGTGGATCAAGTGACTGCGGAGGCTTACCAAGATAAATTAGCATCATTTTCCCACAGAATCTCAGAGAAAAAGAAAGTACGTCTTTTGCATCGTTGCATGAGGCGACTCACCCATCGCTAAGCCTGATGGATCAAGCAGAATCACAACAGCGTTACTTTATCCGAAAGCTTTACTCAACTGTGTGAATCCATTGCATGGACAGCATGTTTGAGGTTAAACTGAGTGGGATTGATAGTCGAGGGGTTTTTACAGAGTTCTAACAGACCTCACAGCGTTAGAGGAGCTCTGAGGGATGGTGCTGGATTAGTTTGGGAGTTGAGAACTGGATATTAATTAATATGTATACATTCAGTTCATTATATTCTGAGTAATTTTCATATATAACTGTGAAATTACAATTTTCAAATTTAATTTTCATATAGACGCACATTGGTGTCTTGATAAACTGGAGTTTATTTTGCAACAACAAACAACTAGATGTACATATATAATGTCATTAAAATCGTCATATATAATGTGGTTAATTGTTTTTTTTTATTCTAAAAACCATTTTAGAATTATGTTTATATATATACCACTGTTCAAATGTTTTGGGATAGTATTTTTTATAGAGGTATCTTATGCTCATTAAGAATGCATTTATTTGATCAAAAATACAGTAAGAACAGTAGTATTTTGAAATATTAATATAAATATTAATATACTTAAAAATAGAATTTATTCCTGTGGTGGCAATGGTGAATTTTCATCAGCCATTACTACAGTCTACAGATCCTTCAGAAATCATTCTTATATGCTGATTTTTTTTACCAATGTTGGAAAATACTTTTTTATTATTGTTATAATTTTTTTTGGAACCTGTGATACTTTTTTTTTCAGGATTCTTAGATGAATACAAAAGATAAAAAGAACAACATTAATTCAAAATAGAAAACGGTTGTAGCAATATACACTACTGTTTAAAAGTTAGGAGTCAGTACTTTTTATTTATTTATTTATTTATTTTAAATAAATTAATACTTTTATTCAGCAAGGATATGTTAAAGTGATAAAAAGTGAAACAGACTTATTGTTACAAACGATTTATTTTTTGAAAAAATGCTGGTCTTTTTAACTTTTTATTTATATTTATTTAATATTTGATATATTCCATATATTACATTCCAAATAGGAATATAATGTTGCAATTCTTATTGAACATTTCTTGTTCTGTATGTCTTACATAAAGACAAAGCAATGTTGTAACATCTATGTGCAACCTCTTTTCAATATAAAAAGCACTTAGAGCAACCACTCAAAAAAAAAGTATAAGTATGTCTTTTAGTGTCATTGTCTTTTTTTTTTTTTTTTTGATGTCTTCTCATTGATCAACATCCACATATGCTTAATGTACAGTGACGGTTATGTGGCCAGCAGGCTGGACGTGGGCCGCTGAGAGAAGATTCAAAGGATTTTACACATGGGATTGCTTTTGCCACTCGTTACATTTTCATGCCACTTTTATAGAAGATAAAAGACACCGTAATCTTTAATGGCACGGGAACGCACAGTCCATTTAACGTCTGGAAGATTACTGCCATGGCCAAATCGGATGTGACTGAAAAAAAAAACTCTGATGAATATTATTATCATTACCCTACCATCGTGCATATAAAATTAGTCCAGTCTGCATAGGTCTTTTTCAAATGCTTTTTAAACCCTTCACTTTGTGGAACTACTACCAATTGGTTAAAATATTGGCAATTCAGGGCAAAGAAAATATGTGTGTATTTTTTTGTATGTGAAATGTGTTTTCATACATTCATAAACTCTGCCAATGATATAGCCGTAGCTCTGGCTTTGTGCTCCTCTGGTGTATGTTTGATTGCTTTCCATCTATGACACGGTTTCAAATGGCAGTTAAGGCCAGTTGGTGCTGTACGTGTAAAGGCCCAGTATAGCGGTTCTTTTTATAGAGCTCTTAAATGCCACCTGCCTGGTATTGGGCAGTTTAACATAACTATAAATGCTTACTACCACAGTCTCAGTAGAATACAGTTTATAAATGCATTTTAAACTTTATATCCTGCAGTTTAGTAGCATTTTATTTAATTCTTTTCCCTTTAAGTCCATTCATGTCAGTCAAGATTTCTGGCACCAAGAACAGATATTGTATTGTATTTAGTTTACATTATAACTTTCCTTACCTGTGATTTGATTTGATTAAACCGTTTGTGTTGACATGATAATACCCAAAACCATGAGGCTTATTGAAGTTGTGTTTTTCTAAGCAACCTAACATATAATTTTCATCTAGGAGACAATAAAGTTTTGCTTAAATCGCTTATGCTGCATTTATTTGATCAAAAATACAGTAACATTTTGAAATATGAATACCGTTTAAAATAACTGTTTTCTATTTAAATATATTTTAAAATGTAATTTATTCCTGTGATGCAAAGCTGAATTTTCAGCATCATTACTCCAGTCTTCAGTGTCACATGATCCTTCAGAAATCATTCTAATATGCTGATTTGCTGCTCAAGAAACAGTTCTTATTATTTTCAGTGTTGATGCATATTTTCATACAAACTGTGATACATTTTTTTTTCAGAATTCTTTGAGAGAACAGTATTTTTTGTAACATTATAAAAGACCTTACTGTTACTTTTGATCATGCATCCTTGTGGAATAACAGTATTAATTTCTTAAAGTAAATAAATCAGTCAATCATCAGTCTACACTGAAGGTGGCATCTTCATATGTCTAGAGATCATAATATCATAAACATTTGAAGGTGGTTTCTTTTTACATGGATGATTAGGGAACCACCTTGCAACACATTATCAACGCACTGAAAGCCACACTCTTGGTGGCATCTTTTGCACAGGCAAACAGCACTACAGTTTTCTTCAGAAAATGTCAAAATCTAAAGTCTACAGTTTGTCTTACACATCTCTAAAGTCCTTTTTCCGTGTCTTGATGGAAAAGGTCACCGCAGGCAGAAGTGTTTTGTATGGCCGTGTGAAAGATGCCAGCAGGGAAACAAGATGATGACAAAAGCGCAGGAGCTTTACAAAGGAAGAGTTCAGGGAGCAAGGGAGGTCTGGTAATTAGCTTTGCTTAATTATGATTTTCTGAAAAGATTGAGAGAAGAACAGAGAAAAGCGTCCACTGTGAGCGCTGATCCGTTTTCACACAGCAGTTTAAGCTCTTTCCTCAT